GCTGAAACCCGGGCGATGGTTAAAATCATCGCGGCAGCCACAGCCTTTGGCCTGCCGCTTCCCTGCTCCCAGATGTCGGGGACATCCAGAGCCACTCAAGGTTTCTCCCACTATCAAGCAAGCCAGAGCTCCAACTCACTCAGAGATGGGGCCCTGCAGGCACCCTGAAGATGCAGCCATGTGTAGAGATGCCCGGGTAGAGATGAGGGGGTGAAAGGAAGAGATTCCAGGGGAGATTTCCCTCTTCCCCGCCCTTCCCCCTACACACCCTGGGCTTGTTTTCCATTCGGGACTCAGCGTGCTACAGACACACTGTTCCCACTCCCAGAGCTGCCAGCGGGGACCCCAAGTTCCCAGGAATTCCAGGTGGTCACTCACCTTCCCCACGAGCTTGCCTTTGCGGTTCATACACAGGTAGAATTCCGTCTCCTTGCCCTTGATCCGGACTTGACTACCGAAGGTGTCTGTCTCCACTAGGAGCTGGGCTTCGAAAGGAAGAAGGAGAACAAGAAACATTGTTTTACTAGGGGCAATGGCTTGGTCTAAAGACTCAGCGACATAGTCCCTGACCCTGTCCCCGGTCCCTCCCTCCCCCAAAATCAGGCATGGGAAGGTCTGGAGCACCCTGCCCTGAAGATGGAAGCTGTCCGTCACCTGTTCCCTTCCCTCCTGCCTCTCTTGGCTCCACTTGGAATCCAGATGGCTCAGCCAGAGAGTTCTGCCCCTTGTGGCTAAATACCAGTGTGCCCTTCTTCCCTCGTCGCCTCAGCTCCAAGGCCCAAAGCAAGACAGGCAGCCATACAAAAAAATCCCATTCTAAGATCAGTGGCTCACACCTGTAATCCCAGCACTTTGGGAGGTTGAGGTGGGAGAATCGTTTGAGTTTAGGAGTTCAAGACTAGTCTGGGCAACGTAGTGAGACCCTGACTCAACATAAAATTTAACAAATTAGCTGGGTGCGGTGTCTTGCGCCTGGAGCCCCAGCTACTCAGGAGGCTGAGACAGAAGGATCGCCTGAACCCAGGAGGTCGAGGCTGTGATGAGCCATGATCCTGCCACTGCACTCCAGCCTTGGGGGGCAACTCAAAAAATAAAAATTCCCCAGCTGGGCTCGGGAAGCTTTGGGAGGCTGAGGTGAGCGGATTGCCTGAGCCTGCGGGTTCGAGACCCGCCTGGGCAACTTGGCGAGACCTCATTTCTACAATAAATAAAA